ATTGCTATTGATATTTTTTTAATGTTTTCCTGCTTCTGTACCTAAGAATACGTTATTTCTTTCCCAGTAGTTTTTAAATTATTATTATATTAAATAAATTACGTATTCTACGTAATTGTTATAACTTAAGATAAAAATAAACATAATTGCCGAGAGCAAAAAACGACGACGCTGCCTGGTGTTAGAATTGAATTATGACATCGATTATTGTCAATAGGAGTGTTTTAAGAAAACGAAATAAGTTCCTGAAAATTCAACTAGATGGCGTGAATCCAGTTTAAATCCAAAGTACCTATAATGTATGATACAAATTTCGATGTTATAAAAAACGATAATAAAAAGGACACTTTCATTCAGACGCCATTACGGTGACGATGCATTTGTACTGAACAACGTTGGCAGTATGCGATTTGTTATATTTTCTTTTTAGTACAATCAACAGCGAGTTACTTGAATAGACTTTGAGCCGTAAGTTGAATTTAATTCTAGCGTGCTTTTCATGTACTATTTTCATTATAAGATTAAAAAAATATGAGGGCACGTGTTGGAAATCTTTATGAATAAAAATTTGTACCAATTTATTTAAATACAAAATGCCGCTACCTTACCGATTTCTGCTGCCAAGCAATAATGTGACCATTACTGCGTTCCGGTTTTGAAGGGTAAAGTCAAGGTGGCGAAATTACTGGCACATGGGTCTTGTCAACTTATGTCTCAGGGTGACGGGTGCTATGTCTGTGCCCCGGACAGGCATGTCGCTTATCACCAAGCCTGTGGACTGTCACTTATTATTAGGGATGGTTATCCCAAAATGGATTCAAGTGATCTATGGATTTTTTTGATATCGAATCATTGCAACGCGATTTTCAAACGAATCGATTTAATAGAAAGGCAAAATATTTGAGCAAGCAATAAAGATTTTGTAATAATATCACTTACTGCCTCCGTGGCCGAAGTTACCATGCCGGACTGCCAAGCAGATGTCCCAGGTTCGATTCCCGGGCCGGGATAAATATTTGTATGGCCTACATTTATTTCTCTCGTGAGTTTGGGTGAATTTGTGTGTCCGTAACACCCGTGATAGAGGATTTCCCTAGTACGGGGCTTAAAAAAAAACTCGATTTACAAATAGTTAGTTGTCTATAGTTTTTGCCCTCGATTTCGTTTATTAAGGGGTTTTAACCCGATTCAAACCCGAATTAACAAAGCGCCGGGATAAAATCCAAAAAAAAAAAAACAGAAGAATCTATTGTGATAGCGTAACGGACTAAGGTTACCGCCCTGGAAGATACCCTCGTCAACTGCACCAAGTTGCATGAAACATGATAACGCAAACAACAAAAAGTTTATCTAAATATTTATCAGTACCGCTATACAGCTCTATAAATATACCGTTCTGTTGTTAGGAGACCCCAGCATCGATAACTCACAAAGACTCTCTTTTTGTATGCCTTTGATATACAAACCAGGAGGCTTCCAAACACGTTCACGAACTTCATTTCAAAAAAGTCACATAAAGACCCGCATTCTAAACACTAGATGTAAAGAAACTATAGGTCTTCGGGCAAAACGTAAATGTTTTAGTAAAATTTATACTGGAAGTTCCATACAATTGTTAGTAAATGTATGAAAGGTGTGGGTCTTTATAGCAATCTTTATGTAAAGTTATAAATAATATAAAACAGTTGTATCGTACATAGATTGAACTAGTCTACGCCGTGGTGCGGGGAGAAGCGCACCAGTGTTGTCTTTTTTATTAAATAGTGTTTTTTATTTACCGGTAAGTGTTTTTTAATTTGGTGATTTTACATTCTTGTACCTTAACGAGTTAGTGAACAACACATTAATACAGGATAGTTATGTTCATTTAAATTTTTTTATTATTTGTTACAAGTCGTCTTGATACCCTTGAGAAAACTGTACCTAAATGCCAAAAAGGTTTTTATATTTATATTTTGTCTATAAAAAGAATAAATAAGTTAATAAGAAATTTAATTAGGAATGCCGTCAGTTTTGCTTTAGCATTATATTTTTGTATTATAAGAGGACGTTTGCACTAAATATTTCCTTAATCTATCAGGCGTCACAAAAGACCACCAGTTTATTTTCTGCAGTTACCTATTCACAGCAGGAATTGGTTATTAGACTGTGGTATTGCTATTGTTACTGCTTTCGTATATGCTCGTCGGTTGAGGATATTCTTGACCAGGCCTTTCTTTAGGACGTTCTCAATATGCACCCTCACACTCGCCTTGTAAATCTGCTTGTCCATATTGCATCCTCTCTACATGATGATGTGTGTCATAATCCTAAAAAGTAGAAGTGGTCTCTGTAAAGATGTGGAGTGGAATTCCTTGCCTGCAGACTTATTCCTTTACCCTTATATATTGGACTTTTTCAAGTTGAGAGTGAATAGGTATTATTTAGGTGTGCATCTGCCCTATCATCCTCCTCATTGTCCTCATTGACCTCATTGTCACTTTCCGTAAAGTGAGATGGAGGTCAAATACGCATTTATTTTTAACCGAATCTGAAAGAGGAGGTTCTCAATTGGTCGGTATCTTTTTGCGTGCATATTATGTGTTTACTCCTATTTTTATTTGTGAACCAATTTCTTGTTTTTGTATAATAAAAAATTTGTACTTCTGACAGTACTTTTTTGTTGGAAAGATCCCATTTAAATTTGAAGAAAATATTCCACTTCTAAGGGGGTAAATTAGGGGATGAATCGTGTTTATTGGATTTGTCAATTTCACCCACTTTTCGTTAATCGATTTAAATAAAATAAAAATTTGGAACAAATGCATAAGCAAACTTTTGAAGTCGGTTTATGATTATATCATAAAAAAATGCATGAAGTGTATGTTTTTTAATGAATTGCTACGGTAACGCTTTTCTTTCTATATTTCTTCCTCCCTTGAGGAATTATTCCAAGGCTGTAGCGGAATTCTCTCATGTCTTTCGTCTTTCTCGTCCACTATGCCTGCAGGGACGTATACCTTCACATGTCATGTTTTATTTTAGGTCTAAAACGACGTAGTTGTCGAGCACGTTTAACATCTTCAGAATATTTTATGAACTGTGTTATTTCATGATAATATAATACTATTTGGTACGTAAGCACGCTGCCGACCTCCGCACACGGTCAAAGGTCACGAGGTATCTTATTCAATTGAGCTAAAGCACCTATTGTTTTGCATATACATCTACATTATGTATAAATGTATATTTCTCTTCTGGATATTGCATAGACTGTCTTTTTCTCCTGACAGTGATAGGGAAATTTGTCTAGTTGTTATTATCTCAGTTATTAAACATTGTACCGATTGTATTGTTTTATGACATGATCCTTATGTAATTCATAATTTTGACTGATAACAGCATAGAGTTAAGAACTATAAATAATATTTCTTCACTTGGAGTTTCGGATTTTGGGATTAAGCTTGTTGATTACCAAAAGTAGGTGTTCGCTATATTTTGATAACGTTATCAAGCGTATCTTTGCTTCAGCCCAGCACTTAAACCGAAACGGGAAATTACTTTCATTCATTTTGAATTCTTTCATGTAATTATTTTTAATTACATGAAAGCTGCACTGCTTTCTGTGTTGATTTTTTTACGATTTTATGAACAATATACGCATGCGTGATCTTATTACTCCAAACCTGTAAAGATAAAGCTTTTAAAATTATCTAGTCGATATTCCACAAATTGTACCTATTATTACCAATTACCACTTTGGTCCATTGCGCACTGTGAGACCATCCTACACGTTTATTTAAAAAAAAGCCTACTCACTTCTAGCCTTGAAAAGCCCTAAATTTTAGTTATCGGTAAAACACAAATACCGGTTGTGTATTTCATTCCTTAAAAGCAGGAAGCAAAGCGCTACATGCGAATGTCTAATTTATCGATGACACAAGGATAGATATAAGGATTAGACATGTCTGCAGGAGGGCTGACTCCAATGGAGGATGGCAACAACGTAGTGTAGGACGCTTTGCGGTAATGTGGACGGACGACATGAGAAAGGTGATCGGCAGCGGCTGAATGCGGGCGGCATAAATCCGGGACAGTTGGTGTGTGTAAGCTGATGACAAGGATTGAGTGTTCCGGAGTTTTTAATGGATCTAAGAAGGAAACAATTCTTTCTGCGAGATGGAACTGATTCTAAAGTTCCTTTTGCACAAAACCGATAAGCAGACCACTTTACAGAGGTGTTCGAGATTTAGAAGCTTCTGTTCCACTAGACATTTGTCGCTAATAAGTCACTTTGCTCTTCGCTCCACTGAGTCAAAGGTAATTCGTATCGGCAGAACCGCAAATAAGGGAATTTCCGTATGGAGAGATTTAGAGTTAATCGACTTCGGAATGCTTTAGGATCACCAATCACTAACTTGTCACTCAACAAGTGGGAATTTATTTCACTTTCTCTTCTTTATCTGGCAATGGCCTCGGAGACCTTCTCGGGTTTGTTGTCGTTTTGTACTTTGACGAGTAAAAACTACACGAATCTCGACAATTTCAAATGTTTTTAATTTATTACACTTGAGATTTTTTAGATCACTATGTTTTTACTACTACTGCTAATTCTGGAGATTCACCTGAGAAAAACTGTATGAGTTGCTATTTTAAATTTCAAATGCGAAGTCCGAAGCCGTTATTGTTCTTCAAGTTGGTATAAAACCGTATTCCTCCAGTCTTCCGCTCCATTGGACAAACGTCAATTGATTTTGTGCTTTATTGAGTAATCATGCTGTCTCACATTTTGCTTCGACAAAGTAAAGGACAGTATTATAGTTAATAACAATAAAATTTAAATTTAAAGAATGTTCCTACGATCACCTTACTATTTATTATGACGGAATCGTCTTTTCGTGTAGTGCTGGTCTCAACGTTAATTTGTCAAAACATAAACCTTGCAAAGTTAAACGCTTTGTTTCTAACATGCCAGCGTAACTCTCCGTCTCTCACACCAAGTGAATTTGTTGCACTATGTCTCTTTTTATTCCGATAACATGAACCGAAATATTCCATTCAATGAAGATAAACTTGCAGAGCTGTGAGTACAATTGACAGCTTGTAGGTATCTATCTATAAGACCTAAAGTAATTACTGCTCACCTCATTTAGGTTTGATAGTGATTACACCTACTAGTGTTGTACAGTTTGAATTTATAACTGTGTTGTGTTGTGGTATTGAATACAGGGTGGCTATGAAGTCAATGCCAAAAGAAGCTGATTCTGTATTTTAAAACGAACAACTTTTGTTCCACATTGTTTTAAATTATATATGGATTTAAACATTGTTACATTCCTGGGTTCTTTGTGAATTTGAGTGTTTAGAAGAGTAAAATAAAGCGAATGCGTATTTTCTTAACTTTCGATGTCCCAAATAAGCGCGTACTATGTTAGCAACAACCTTGCAGACATTACATTATCTACAGTTTAATATAAATAATAGATTCAAACTAGTGATGAGGATTTGTAGAGAGATATTCATGAATGCTGCAATGTTCACCTCTCCAGAAAAATGGATATTCTATCTGTAAAGAAATTAAGAGAGTAGAGTCGTAATGTTCAAAAACGTTCAAGGTTAAAACAGTTTGTCGAAAGCTTCGGCGGTTGTTCTATGCAGCACTAGTGTACACGTCCATTCGTGTTTATAACGAATTACGTTGAAACATTCCCATCGTGGTCAAAGATAATAATATTGTTATGTACCTACAGAATAACTAATTTAAAAAATATTATGTAGGATTACGTGTCATGATTTAATTGACTTGTAATGATTATACATTGAGTTCGTTAATCGTGAACAAGTACATAAATATTATAAAAAGCAAACGTGCTATTATACGAACATTATTAGATATGCGTTTCTCACCAAGCGGTGATGACGTGGTGATGACAACCAAGAAAGGCTTAAAATCTACAAAGCTATTACTAAATAAAAGGTAAACATATTTGTACATACATGATGAATGATCATCATAAGCTCTGACCTTGCAATAGACAATAGAGGCAGCTATTACACTTTTTCAGGTCTTCACTATGGCGAAACTCCTTTTGGGTCTTATAGCAGTGGTCGTTGGATTGGCTGTTTATATGAGTTGCAAGTGCTGCAATCCTCCGAAACCGCCCAACTTGAGTCTCGACGAGTGGTGGGGCCCCAATGAGCTGAAGGGAAAGAAGGATACCAGTATTCGACCTTTCCAGATCAAATTTTCTGAACAGGTAACTTTTATTAGAGTCCACCATCGTGAACCACATGATGTAACAAAAAGATCCGAATATAGTTCAGCGAGTGTTCTTTTAAATATATATTTCAAAATAGATGAATTTTACATTAAATTACCACCGCAGGTATTACTACATTCGTTCTGGTATTCACTATTCTAAAAAGTTGTCATAAAAAGTCGCAAATTCATCTAAGGGATAAGATTCCTGTTGATTTTCTATATTTGCCTCGTCTTTAGTGATTCTTTTTATAAACCGCTTATCAAGTTCTGCAAGTTTATGTATTGTTCCTGATCAATTACCGCGCCTTTATATATAGATCATTGCGGGGTAATAACTGATCGAGACGGTATCCCATTTGCATCTTGTAGATCATGAATAGTCAAATTGTTTATTTTTATGTGTAAATTTTATTTCACGCTTCCAAATCTTAAACATATATTTTTTTATGCTCCAGATGATAATAGACCTAAAAGATCGTCTTATGAAGCATCGTCCCTTCACCCCACCATTGGAAGGCATTGGCTTCCAATACGGGTTCAATACCAAATACTTGGATACCCTGGTGTCATATTGGGCTGAGAAGTACCCGTTTGCTGATCGCGAGAAGTTCCTGAACCAGTTCCCCCAATTCAAGACCAATATTCAGGGACTGGAGATTCATTTTATCAGGGTTAAGCCTCAGGTAAATTTAAGATTTCCTGTTTGAATGGTTTCCTAGGTGAAAAAGCCATTTACTTCTCCACATAACTCTGAAATTACGATAATGGCAGACTAATATAAAATACGACTAAACAATGTGGATAAGAAGGTTAAAGATCTAGCTTGCAGATTTTTTGTCTGCACCAGCAGCTATTCTCTTGCTGCGTTGGCGGGTAATCATTTTTTCATTTCATTTCACTATAAGGGCAAGGGCAACAAATCAGGTCACTGTATTTTTTTAATAAAACAAATGAAACGAAAAGGACGCAAAAGTACTTGGTGCAAACACATTTTTACAATACCTGTACTTTTATCTCAGAGTAAGATTAAGATTTCTTCGTGTTTTCTCTTTCTCTCTTTCTAATATTATTATCAAAAGCTTGCATAAAGTTTTATTAGATACAATTTCATAAAAGCAAATTTTCTAAAACCGTATTTTCGATTTGAAGAAACATTTTTCTAGGCATTGCCGTAAGTCGTTGTTCCTAGGTTTTCTTCCTGTGTTCAATTTTGTGTTATATTGCAATATCTACGTAATTAATTTTAAGGTCCCCGCAAATGTGCAAGTGCTGCCAATTCTCCTTCTCCACGGCTGGCCAGGTTCCGTCCGAGAGTTCTACGAAGCTATTCCAATGTTGACCAAGCAGGCATCGGGATATGACTTTGCTTTTGAAGTAATTGTCCCTAGCTTACCAGGATATGGTTTCTCTGATGTAAGTATACATGACTTATCTTCTGTTAATGTTGGTTAGAAGGAGAGAGTCTCTGTAATTATTGGTATTATTTCATTTTGAGAAGTTGCCTGATTGTAGTTGAAGTTAGTTAGAAAAACTAGACTGAGCTCCACAGTCGCGAGGCGAGGATTCAATCTTTGTATCAATAATTATATGTCTTTCTACTTTTATCTTTCAGGCAGCAGTAAGACCAGGTTTGGGCGTGGCTCAAGCAGCAGTCATAATGAAGAATCTGATGAATCGTCTTGGATTTAATAAATACTACGTCCAGGGTGGCGATTGGGGAGCCGCTATTGTATCTGCCTTATCCACACTTTACCCTGAGGAAGTCTTGGGTCATCACTCTAACATGGCTGTAATTTCGGTAAGGATTTTTATAACTTATTTTAAAAAATCTTTTCGTGTCATGAAAAGTCAAATTAAGAATAAATATGAAAAATGGGCTCTACACCACTATTATTGTATAGTTTTGTTATTAAATTCCAAGTCCAATTACAGATTGTGGATTGCTAAGTCCTTCAGGAAGAGAATTTCATATTACAAAAGTTCTTTACAAATTTAAGTTAGTTTCACTACAACAACACTTACAGACCCCCTGCACAATGCTGAAGACGGTCTTGGGAGCGTTTTTCCCGTCATTGGTGGTGGAACCTCACCTAGCTGACCGCATGTACCCACTGTCTACCGTGCTTTCCATCGCGCTTGAAGAGTTTGGCTACCTCCACTTGCACGCCACCAAGCCTGATACTGTTGGTGAGTTCATGGAGCTTTGAGTCAATGATATTTAATTAGTATTCGAGTGACTTTTAAGAACAAAGCTGCGGGTTTAATCCTTAGCAACGGTTTAATCGTTTAAATTCTTTTCTCTCAGTATACCATAAAGAAATTCGCCTTGTAAGTATATAGTATTCGTAAATATGTAGTAAAACATAAATAGCAAAAGTACTTAATATGCTCAGGGCACTTTTACCGTATGTTCGTTGATCTCATGAATACAAATTGTCACTGATACTATTTATAGCGTCAGGACTAATATTTTTTGCATACTTTTCTATATTCCTAGGCGTGGCGCTCACGGATTCTCCAGCTGGCCTTCTCGCCTACATCGTTGAGAAATTTTCCACTTGGACAGTTCTTGAGAACCGAAACCGTCCCGACGGAGGTCTGAACAACGGGAAATTCTCCAAAGACCAACTGATTGATAACTTAATGATTTATTGGACTAGCAACTCTATTGCTACTTCTATGAGGTTTTATGCCGAAAGCTTCAGCGACAAGCATAGAGCACTACAGTTAGACAGGTGATTTTTAGATTTACTGTACGCTAGTACACTACTCGTGGCTTGTTCTTCAATAGATGATAGCTTTTAGTACTGTACTAGGTATTTATACAAATTATTTCCAACTAATTTTTCCCTCTCTTCCACTCAGAAAAGCTATTAGTAAATTCTTTTTAGCCAAATTGTTTTTAATAAATAATCTGAAAGCCAATTTATGTTTTTATGCTGTTACAAGTAAAGTTCAAAAGCTAAAGAAAGGGCTTTAGATTATAAATTTCATGGCAATCCATCCAGCCATTATCACGCATAGTATATAGTAGGTATATCCCAACTTTCGAATTTATAAAATTTGTGGCTTGAGCAGTATTTGGAAGTGATCTAACAAATATTACTCACGGACTAAATTTTCTTTTACAGTATAAAAACTTCAGTTCCAACTTGGATTCTTCAAGCGAAAAACGAGCTTGCCTACCAACCTCCAGGCTTTCTGAAGACGAAGTACACAAACCTTATAGACGTGACAGTCCTCGATGATGGCGGCCATTTCTTTGCTTTTGAATTGCCCAAGGTGTATACAGAGGATGTCTTCAAAGCTGTAAAAGCATTCAGAGAATGGCATGCTAAGGCCAGCAAGACTGAGTTGTGATTTGGTAAATAATTCGTTGATGTGGATTAGGTGTAAATATAATGGGATTGTAAAATAAAGTTGTTTCATTTCTATCGATGAAAAATGTGAATTCAAATAATTCTAATTAGAGGTTTAATAGCCGTACAGTTTGTTTAGTGAAAGTTTTATATGAAACATTCGTTTACGTTCGAAAGCGTTAATCGAGTAAATTCATAACAATGCCTTTTTTTATAACATTCTTATGTTTTATCTTGATTTTTCGAACGATTTTTTGGATTCTTTTCGGCGATAGTCAACTTTTTCCTTAAGAATTCACCACACTTACCGACGCGGAATCTGCTTGAGACAAGTGAAGGGTAACCACACTTGTGACATTAATTCGACTTGGTGTCAACGCGGCCGATCGAGCGTCGTTATCTCCATTCAAATCGTCTCGTATCGGGGGTATATGAAATTTTCGGAATACAATATATTTAGGGCTCTCACACATACTTTAACTGCCTCGGTGGCCGGACGGTTCCAGGTTTGATTCCCGGGCCGGGAGAAATAATTGTATGGCCTACATTTAGTTCTCTCGTGAGTTTGGGTGTAATTTGTGGCTGTCTATGTGTCTCCATGGTACCCGCGACACAGGGTTTCCCTTTTGCGGGGCTGTGTTCAGTGTGTGTGTTATTATAGGGAATTTGACTCCGTGGCCGTTCACCGTATAAATGTGGAAGCGTAATGCCTTGTGCGAATTCTTGGAATATCCATAACATAGGGAGGAACTCCAGCCTACTTCTAGTCTACCGGCGATGGAAAGGCGGAATTGCGGATTGAATCGTTCAATGCCTTTTCACACTTTCCGTGCTATCTCCTGTGGTATATTGTGTATTCTAGAAAAATACAGCGTTATTTATTATTTCCTTGCAGTTCTTTTCTTTCTATTGAAACCATAACGATAGTAGCGGTAGAGAGATGCACAAATTGATACTGTCACATCCGTATGCTTTGAAAGGGACATGTGGGATGAATACCACGTTTAGCAATAGCGTCGTCCTTAACGTTAACTCAAAGGAGTTTATCAAAATTTGTCGTGCTACGGGAATTCATGGAAATAAGTTACGTGATTCTATTCGTATGGAAATCAAGAGATAACGTTTCAGTGTATACTGATTTTCAAGGTCAGAACAGAGAATGATTGTTTTGACTAATAATCTGCAACACAGTGCAGCAATCACGGTCGCTTGTGTTTGTAACGGATACGCTAAATCATGAGTTTTTTATAATCACCACTATTATTGTGCTGAAAGATAGCTCGTTAAATTCGATGTGTAAATAGAATAATAAGGTATCTGGGTTATTACATTACGTAACCTTATATAAAACACTTGTAATGATGATAAAAGGGATTTGTTACTTGTATAGATATACACAAATATTATAAAAAGCAAATCTGCTATTATACGATTATCATTAGATACGGGTGTCTTACTACGGAACGACGTAGACACGACGCGACGCAACAAAGAACGGCGTCGTTAATTGAATTGCCAAGAAAGGCTTAAAACCAACGAAGCGATTGCTAAATAAAAAGTAAATATATCTGACTTAAATGAGCATCTTAACATTAACCTTGCAGTTAATGAAAGATAACGTTTATTTGTGCAAATGCTGTAAATAACTTTAACATTTTCCAGGTCATCGCCATGGCGAAACTACTGTTGGGTTTTTTAGCAGCGGTCGTTGGAGTGGCTGTTTATATGAGTTGCAAGTGCTGCAATCCTCCGAAACCACCAAACTTGAGCCTCGACGAGTGGTGGGGCCCTAATGAACTGAAGGGAAGGCAGGATACCAGTATTCGACCTTTCCAGATCAAATTTTCTGAAGAGGTTCGTGACTTTTAATGGTAGCAGGGATTGTGAATGTTGCCCAAAAACTTCTGACAGAATTATGCACTCTATGCAATTTATCTATTAAGGAATTGTATTTATAAGAATTCCAGCTGAATTATGTCCGTGCCTCTTTGTTACACCCTATACAAGTATACTATGTAAATAATGAATGAAATTGGCGATTTTGCCGATAATGTGTGATTTGGTCATCTTTTACTTTGTGTTTCCACCAATCACCGTCCCGTGGCATCTTGATTGTTCGGTCAGTATCGCGTTCCGCAGATCACGAGTAGTCATAGCAAATTTTCTTGAGCGCATTAAAGTATATATTAATTGTTATTCTATGTTCCAGATGATAAAAGACCTAAAAGAACGCCTCAACAACCATCGTCCCTTCACCCCACCATTGGAAGGCATTGGCTTCCAATACGGGTTCAATACGAAATATCTGGACAACCTGGTGTCATACTGGGCTGAGAAGTACCCGTTTGCTGATCGCGAGAAGTTCCTAAACCAGTTCCCTCAATTCAAAACCAACATTCAGGGGTTGGACATTCATTTCATCAGAGTTAAGCCTCAGGTATGCAGGGACTTTAACAAATACTTACTTGCCCGATTCAAACTAACGGTTGCACATTTTGACAAGTTAGATTTATAACTACATTAAATAATCAATGGGAACGAATTGGGTTATCCGAAAAGTATACTACATTGAAACGAAAAGCACTTGCGAGATGAACCAAAACATGACAATACTGTCTAATAATAGAGCTATTGAGCAAAGCGTCAGCTTTTTTCCTTCAACATTTTTATTTATGACATATATTAATTTCAAGACCCTTATTCTAGTAGTCTTATTACTAATGAAGTTATTCTTGGTGAGTTATTCTTTAGTTATTTTTTTGTTTTTGAGCATTCAGTTATTTACTTTCAAAGCTTGTAGATTTTAATAATTTCAAAACCCCAGCCTTACGTTCACTCAACTTTCTTAGAAAAGCAGACTAGACATTATAATATACCATTACACGTACAATTTTAGAGAGGGGTGTTTTTTTTGGAAATTCGTATAATTTAGTTCTGAGTTCAATAAGCTTGCCCAATGTGATTTCAACCCCAAAGAATAATTTAACTTCATATTTCGTATTTTTCTTTCACAATTTCCTACGTTGTTCGTAATGAGTTCAATTTTGTGCGACACTAATTGCAATTTCTAATTCTTTTAAGGTTCCCCCAAAAGTACAAGTGCTGCCAATTCTTCTTCTCCACGGCTGGCCAGGTTCCGTTCGAGAGTTCTACGAGGCTATTCCATTACTGACCAAGCAGACACCTGGATATGACTTTGCATTTGAAGTTATTGTCCCTAGCTTGCCTGGATATGGTTTCTCTGACGTAAGTAAATATCGCTTGTCTATGTTTTTAATTAGGCCCAAGTTTTTCTTCAATTAAAGTAGGCAGTCGGAAGAGCAGGGAAGTCCTTGCTGCAGTAAAATAATAATATCGTTTTAATTTTGGAAAGTTACCTGATGATAATCGGTAGGTACAGTGTAAAACTTAACACGGTATGTAACACCGCTCTGTTTATTTCTAAGCTAAGCAGTAATGCTGTCTGTATTCTGGATTTAAGGGTAGGGAGACACAACGGGTTCAAAGGCATAAAAGGAACGGACTTAAGATATTATGGAAATTTCTTCGTATAGTAAACGTCTATAAGAAGCTTCTATCCATTACGAGGACCATTTGTCTATTCGTCGATTTGAATATCTGGTCTGATCATAGCAAGTTACACAACAAGCTGAATTTATTTTCTGTCCGTCTATAACGGACTTCAAAAAAGGAGGAGGTTCTTAATTCGGCTTTAGTTTACTTTAGTTACTTCTATAGTATAATGTCCTACGGGATTCTCATGTGGGGTGAAGCGGCAGATATTCAAACCATGTTTGTATTGCAAAAACGAGCGATTCGTTCTGTGTACCGTCTAGGCTCTCGGGTTCCTCACAAAGAAAAGTTTAAGGAGACTGGTATCATGACTGTGGCACACAGTACATTTACTCAAATATTTTATATGCCCGTAAAAATAATTTCAATAAGAAAGAAGATATCCATAATATTAACCTTAGAGCTAAGTCCAAACTCATGGTACCACGATTTCGTTTAACCAAGGTAAACAACTCTTTTATGGGGAACTGTATACGTTTTTACAGTAAGATTCCGGAGCATATATTAAGTTTATCATTTCCTAAGTTTAAAAACTACATTAAAAATATTTTGATCGAAAAATCATATTACAAAATTGAAGACTACGTGTTAGATAAAGATGTATGGAAAGACGACATGGCTCCAGAATCCACACAAATTTGATTCAAAGTGTATTCCATAGCATTTAAGTTTATTTGAAAAGAGCAATCCCTAGAGTTTCTTGCTCGTTCTTCTCAGGGAGGTCAGCGTAGTGAACGAGCAGTAGCTTAAATGTGACGTTTTCAAGTGTAAATTTATTTTACCTATGGAATAAATAATCTTTGACTTTGACTTTGACTTTGACTGTATGTTTTTTTTTGTGTGCCATAAAACATAAAGTTGGCAAGTTTATGTATTTTTTCCTATTTTTTATAGTTTCACCAGCTCCCTTATCCCAAAACCGAAACCTAATAATATATACTTACATCACTGTTTAGCGGCGTATCTGTGTTTTGAGTCTGTCTAAATTAGGCCTTTCTTCTTCTAAACTCCAGGCTGCAGTAAGACCAGGCTTAGGTGTGGCCCAAGCAGCAGTCATAATGAAGAGTTTGATGAACCGTCTCGGCTATAAGAAATACTACGTCCAGGGCGGCGACTGGGGAGCCGCCATCGTGTCCGCCATGGCCAAATTTTATCCCGAAGAAGTTTTAGGTCATCACTCAAATGCGCTTTTAGTAATGGTAATTTGTGATATTGTTTTCTTATTTTATGTTACACACGAGACACTATAATTTCCTATGGGCCAAAAGCTATTTTGAAGACATATTTAGAAGTTGGATAGTGACATCTTTGTTATTGTAATACAATGTAATCGTAGACTGCATTATTATCATAGTATAATGAGATAAGTAGGTAGGGTGACTTCGTACAAAATCTTGTATTGATAAAAGCTTGTATAATGTGCACGCCCGCCGCGCGCTTTGTACGGACGCACACATTCGCATGAAGTCACGGTGCACTCACGTAGTATATTATGACGGTTAGCACTCACTGAAAAAAAATCCGCGCGTAATCGGCCCGGCTTATTATGAGCACCTACCCGTTGACTTAAAAAAATGAGCCTAATGATGAAACATTTGATCGTCGACTAAAAGACTTTTTGTTGGATAATGCGTATTATTCCACTGAAGAATAGTGGGACATGGTCTTGTAATATATCGCACCCTTAGTAATATAAGGGCACAATCCAAAAAAAGTAGATTTTTGGGAAATTTGGGAATTGATAGGGACTTAAATAATAAATGGGATCAAACTTAAATAACTGCATATTTCTGTTATATTTTTTGTACTATATGGCATAAGCATGTTATTTGAAAAAATAGGTGTAATGTAGGAATCCAGAATCTTAATACGCGATTTTCCAAAAATCTACTTTTTTTGGATTGTGCCCTTATATTACTAAGGGTGCGATATGTTGTAATTTATAGATTATTAGGTATAGATATTATTTTACAGAAATGAATAAATTACATAAACTTTATGCATACAATCATTATATTGACATAATTATTATTATATTATTTAATATGTTCCTACATTATTTCACATAACTACATTGACTATGTTAAAATTACGTAGTACAAAACATGTAGTGGATATTTGTAATTTTTTGAAATTTAGCATTTATTACTATGTGTAACGATTCTTGTAATACAATGTATTGTATATAATAATGTAAAGTTTACAAGATAATAAAATAAATCTAAATCTAAAATCTAAAAATCTATAGAATTAAAGTCTTTGTTCGGTGTTTAAAATATTACACAAATACTTGACGTGTTTACTATGGTTTAAACAAGAGTGACACAAATTCTGAATTGTTCAGAATTGAATTAATTTTTCATAATATTTTTTTCAAATTCATTTATTCGCTTTCGATAGGGTAGAGTACATTATAAATGTTGATGGTAAAATTTAATTAGAACTTAATTCTAGTCAGCCTTAAACAAAAGCATGCAATATAATAATAAACAATTAAACAATATAATCCCCAATTAAATGAATTGATATATGCCGTGGTGGATGTCATAATTTAATGAGAGAAATAAATAATTGTAAAGGAATGTATGCATCAATCAGTTAGTCTTTATATTTCATGAAATTATATTCCTGTAATCGAGGTACCACTCTATAATACTGGTATAAAAATATCAATTCGTAAATACTTCATTTAACAAAGGTTTTTATATGTCAGGAGAATATTAATGATGGACATCTTAATTTTTTTAAATTATATTGAGAACCTGTGTAGGTACTAAACTAATAATGTGACAACCATACGCTCCGGATGCGCCGAAAAGGCGGAAGTTGCCCTGTTTGTCTTATTATAATATACTATTCTTTAGCATAAAGAGTCCTTTATTAAGGAAACCAAGTCACAAAATGGTATATTCGAAACTCGCAATAGTAGTGCTATGAAAACACCTTTACAGACTTCGTGTACAACGCTGAAGATGTTTATTGGAGCGTTCTTCCCATCATTGGTGGTGGAACCTCACTTGGCTGACCGCATGTACCCACTGTCTACCAAGTACTCGATCCTTCTTGAAGAGATGGGTTACGCTCATTTGCACGCCACTAAGCCTGATACTATTGGTAAGTTCATATAGTTTTGATTCACATATTACACCTTAATACATGTAACATTTAGGAGCAAAATCGTGGTTTTTATCTTGAGTATTTGCATCGCGAAGGAATCAACAAAATGGAATTGCACAGTGGCAGTGGAAGTACATCATACGTAGTCGAATCATAAGTTCTGTCACACACTTTAATGCTTCCTACTAAATAATTTGTGTATAAAAATAAATAAAGTTAATTCGAAACTACCGCCTTGATTTTCAACACATGTCTTCAGTTTTTAACACATGCATTACTCGCAGTAGAGCTCCTTGTGAAAGACTTCGTCTAGGGTAGCACTGCCACCTTACCTATTTCTGCCGCCAAGCAGTAATGTCAGCATTACTGTGTTCCGGTTTTGAAGAGTAAGGGTGCTGGTGAAATTACAGGCACATGAGACTTATCAACTTATGTCTCAGGGTGACGGGCGCATTGGCAGAGCTTTGCGATTTAAAGTCCTGAGTGGCACTGCAACTGTTATGAACAGGCGTGTAGCTTACCATCAGGCGCACGACTTGTTAGCCCTGTCAATTGATATTATAAAAAAAAGGCTGCGCAGCCAGTCATCAACCGTAGAGCGCACGACATCAATGTCAATGTCGACTGCTGATAGCAGCATAAAAAATTGATATCACTCAAAGTGTCCATCATCCTATGATGGTATACGATCCTATGATCAAATCAGATATGATGAGGATGATGGACACTTTAGTGATGGACAGTGCTATCATAGGATGATGGATACTTTGAGTGATATCAATTTTTCATGGGTATTATAGCGTATAATTTGATTGACTACCTTTATTATTTTTTCTTTTTTCTCTCTTGGTATCGTTTGATGGTATGGTAAATAATCTTGCGTGTCAAATTCAAATTATTGAAAAGTATTGATCTCTGAATCATAGGTATTAAAAATATTTTGTTTTTAAACAAAAATAAATCCAAATTTAAACACATGAAATAGTTTACGATCAGGTGTTGTTAGAGCTCATGACCTCGTATACTCGGAACGCATGTGCTGTGTGTTCATTGATTTTAATGTGGACATCAAAATGTAATACTTTTTCCACGTTCACAGGTGTTGCTCTTGCGGATTCTCCATCGGGCCTTCTCGCCTACATCGTAGAGAAATTCTCCACCTGGACAGTTCTTGAGAACCGAAATCGTCCCGACGGAGGTCTGAACAGCGAGAAATTCTCCAAAGATCAACTGATTGATAACTTAATGATTTATTGGATTAGCAACTCTATTACTACTTCCATGAGGTTTTATGCTGAATACTTCAGTGATAAACATAGGGCACTGGACTTGGAAAGGTGAATATTTGGAATAATTCCGTAAGATTAAATTAACCGTTGCCGAGTTGGTAGAATGATTAAATAATAACCGTTATACTAAGAGCGTATCTTAACTATATTCTCGCTCCTATAAAATTGGTAGCTTAAACAGAGTTTGGAAGTCACTCACAGTCTAAATTTCCTTTCACAGTGTCGAATGCACAGTTCCAACCTGGGCTCTTCAAGCGAAAAACGAGCTCACCTACCAACCTCCAGGCTTTCTGAAGACGAAATACAAAAACCTTATAGACGTGACAGTCCTCGATGAAGGCGGCCATTTCTTTGCATTTGAATTACCCAAAGTGTTTACTGAAGATGTCTTCAAAGCTGTAAAAGCTTTTAAAGAATGGCATGCTAAGGCCAGTAAGACCGAGTTGTGATTTTGGTAATTAATTCAAGTTGTTTATAATAATATGAAGTGTAAATATAAAGAGATTTTAAAATAAGTTTGTTTTATTTCTACCAATGAAAACTATACCTTTGAGGTTTAATATCCGTATGATCGATTGGAAGTCTGCTGCTCCCATAGCTCAAGGCACTGTTGCACTTCTTCATGTGACGCTTCAGTACAGTCCGTCACGCTTGTAGTGACTTTCAGTAAGCATTCAGAATAAGCACCTTATGTAGTATAACAGTTACTATTATTATATGTTATAACGTTAGAAAATTGATTGACGGATTAAAATTTTTAGTTAACTTTCTTGTAGTGTAGAAAAATAGTTGTATTTAATATTTGTTTCAATTTTGTTCTTGCCTGTTCATGTTTCTGTTGGTATGGAAAACAAGAGATATGGTTTTAGTATCAGGTCAGGTATAGTCAAGGTCAGAAATTATGCAGTATTCACGGTCGTTCGTGTTTATAACGAATATGCTAAATCATGATGAGTTTTTTATAATCACCATTTTTATCGCGCTAGAAGACAGTTCGTTGAATTCATAGTATAAAATTTATATAAAACACTTGTAATGATGATAAAATGAATTCGTTAATTAATTGTATAGATATACACAAATATTATAAAAAGCAAGACTATTATTATACGGTTATCATTAGATACGGGTTTCTTACTACGGAACGACGTAGACAGGACGCGACGCAACAGAGGTCGGCGTCGTTAAGTGAATAGCTAAGAAAGGCTTAAAATCAACAAAGCGATTGCTAAATAAAAAGTAAATATATCTGACTTAAATAATGATCTTAACATTGACCTTGCAGTTAATGAAACATAACGTTTATTTGTGCAGATGCTGTCAATAACATTAACGTTTTCCAGGTCATTGCCATGGCGAAACTCTTATTGGTTTTTTTAGCAGCAGTCGTTGGAGTGGCTGTTTATATGAGTTGCAAGTGCTGCAATCCTCCGAAACCACCAAACTTGAGCCTCGACGAGTGGTGGGGTCCTAATGAACTGAAAGGAAAGCAGGATACCAGTATTCGGCCTTTCCAGATTAAATTTTCTGAAGAGGTTAGTAGCTTTTAATGATAGAAACTATTGTGAATCATTTTTGCTTAAAACAAATTTCAAAAATATGCACTCTATATTACTTTAATGTAGAATTTATTTATCGAGTATACGTTTTCACGATTGTTACACATAGGAAATTAAACTATTTTTCCGAATTTGTATCGCTGACTTTACCACCTCAGTCAACCGTGATCATGGGACCTGTAAAGAGCCCGAAACGTTTTGGTCTGTTTGAAAAAATAAATATACGCGATTTATAATTATGTGTGTTATATGTTTTTTTTACTTTGTGACTGAACTGATCACCATCTCGTGGCAGTTTCATTGGTCGTTCAATATCGCGACTCGCAGATCACGAGTAGTCAAAGCAAATTGTTTCTTGAGCGCATTATAATACTAATAATAATTATTCCTTGTTTCAGATGATAAAAGACGTAATAGAACGCCTTAACAAGCATCGCCCCTTCACCCCTCCATTGGAAGGCATTGGTTTACAATATGGTTTCAATACCAAATACCTGGACACCCTGGTGTCATACTGGGCTGAGAAGTACCCATTTGCTGATCGCGAGAAGTTCCTGAACCAATTCCCCCAATTCAAGACCAATATTCAGGGATTGGATATTCATTTCATCAGAGTTAAACCTCAGGTAGGCGTAACTTACTTTAGCAAATTCTCATATACCGGATTCAAATTAAGGGTTGCCTTTTTGGACAAAACATTTTTCGCAAATTTGACTCAAACTGTATTTATAGTTATTGAATAATAATATTTGTATTTTATACTACAACATTTTTATATATAACATGCACTTCAGGATCGTAGCTCTATTACTACTAACGTTATTCTCTGTGAGGGATCCTTTAGTTTCGTACTTACGTATTTGAGCATTAAACAGATATTATTTATAAAGGATGTAGGTTTTAATAATTTTCCCTTTATTCGAGTTGTATTAAAAGCATGTTATACACGTCCGTGTATTTAAGAGAATTCTTATACTTCAGCTCTGCCTTCACCAACTACGCCCAATGTGGTTTTAGCCCCAATAAATCATTCTTATTATTATTATGCGCGATATGAATTGCATTATCTAATTCCTTTCAAGGTTCCCTCAAATGTGCAAGTGCTGCCAATTCTCCTTCTCCACGGCTGGCCAGGTTCCGTCCGAGAGTTCTACGAGGCTATTCCATTATTGACCAAGAAGACACCTGGATATGACTTTGCATTTGAAGTTATTGTCCCTAGCTTGCCTGGATATGGATTCTCTGACGTGAGTAAATATCTCTCGTCTATCTTTTTCTTTTTATTTAGGTGCTTCTTTTTTCTTCAATTAAAGTAAACTGGCAGATGGAAGAGGAGTTTCACTAGAAATATTTTTTATTAAATGCTAAAAATTAATTTTTTTTTTTATTTATAACAAATCCAAAAAAAAAATTAAAAATAATACACGTCTTTTAAATTTTGAAAAGTTACCTGATGATAGCTCATAGAGCAAAACTCGACACGGTAAGTTCCACTGCTCGGTTGCCATATTCCTGTACGAGAACTATCTGTGTATTCGCCGGTTTGAATATCGTTACGAAAAGAGTTAGAGGGTTAACGGGTTAGCAAGTTACAAAAATATTGCAATCCGAATATGTTTTCTGTCCGTTGATACTTGATCTCAGTCTTTCTAAAATATGCCTTTATTCTTCTATCTTCCAGGCAGCGGTGAGACCAGGCTTAGGTGGGGCTCAAGTAGCAGTCATAATGAAGAACCTAATGAACCGTCTCGGCTTCAAAAAATACTACGTCCAGGGCGGAGACTGGGGAGCCGCCATTGTATCTGCCATGGCTACATTTTATCCTGAAGAAATTTTGGGTCATCACTCTAATATGGCTTTTATTATGGTAATTTGTTAAACAAGTAACCATAGTTTCCTACGCGTGTCATGAAAAATATCTAAAAAAATATTTAGAAAATGTACAGGCCCGTGTCTATTGTGATATTATTTATTCGCAGACAGCATTATTACGGGGTATAAGGAGACTGTGTGTCATTAAAGCTAGCAATACAATTAAAAACTTTTCCGTGTGTTCTAACGACTTATTATGAATTGAGGAGTCCTTTATTAAGGAACCACATTACAAAATTGTTATTTAGAAATTCACAATAGTAGTATTATGAATCTTTACAGACCTCCTGTACAACTCTGAGCACGATTTTTGGAGCGTTTTTCCCATCATTGGTGGTGGAACCTCACTTAGCTGATCGCATGTACCCACTGTCTACCAAGTACGCGATTGCTCTTGAAGAGACGGGCTACGCCCATTTGCACGCCACTAAGCCCGATACTGTTGGTAAGTTTATATAGTTTGGACTCAATCCTACCTTGATAACCAAATCACGGTTTTCGTCTTGACATTGCGAGGAATTCAACAACATATAATTTACAAAACTAATCGAATACTTCTATAGTAACGATGGAAATACATTATACACTCGGAACACTGTTTTTAATTTCATTGCTGACATAAAAGTGTAATACTTTTTCCACGTTCACAGGTGTCGCTCTCGCGGATTCTCCATCGGGCCTTCTAGCTTATCGTAGAGAAATTCTCTACCTGGACAGTTCTTGAGAATCGTAACCGTCCCGACGGAGGTCTGAACAGCGGGAAATTCTCCAAAGACCAACTGATTGATAACTTAATGATTTATTGGATTAGCAACTCTATTACCACTTCTATGAGGTTTTATGCTGAACACATGAGTGATAAACATAGAGCACTGAAATTGGACAGGTGAATATTTATTTGGCATAATTCTACCTGGCCGTTGCGGCGTCGCTGAGATGGATTAATAATAAACAAACTGCAAGTAACACTAAAAGATCAAATTTTTTCCGCAGTGTCGAGTGCACTGTTCCAACTTGGGTTCTTCAAGCGAAAAACGAGCCTTCCTACCAACCTCCAGGTTTACTGAAGACGAAATTTACAAACCTTATAGACGTGACAGTCCTGGATGATGGCGGCCATTTCCTTGCATTTGAATTACCCAAGGTGTACACTGATGATGTCTTCAAAGCTGTAAAAGCTTTCAGAGAATGGCATGCTAAGGCCAGCAAGAGTGAGTTGTGATTTTGCTAATTAATTTAGGTTGTCTATGAGGTGTGAATACAATGAGATTTTAAAATAATGTTGTTTTATTTCTGTTAATGAAAAATGTACATACCTTTGCTTACCTCTAACTAGTGAAAGTTTTGTGATTCACTGTTTGACAACGTCGACGCAGCTGGATGTCCACGACGCCGATCAGCCATCGCCGGCTTTGAGTCAGCGACAGTGCGTATTGTGATAAATATAATGAGTTTATAAAATAAGGTGGTTTATTTTTTTAGACTTTTGGAGAGTTGTTGGTTGGTCTTGCGAAACACGCAGTTGGTAGAAATCTGGGAACATAAATTGGACAACCCAGCTTATTGAGGTACATTTTGTAATCTCTTAACTAGTTGGTTAATATACGAGACTTGCCGCCCGTGCTGCGGTGTAGTGCTGCGCTTTTGTGAATGGCTTCAGTTGGTCTCTCAGGAGCGTGGTATCAATTCAGCGGTGTCAACGGGCGGCGGGCGTACGTACGTAACGTACGTAAATTCCACGCGCTGTATGTTTCGATGTTGCATGATTGATGTCACTATAATTCATATCAATGAAAAGTGACTCTAAAATTCAAATGTGTTCGTATTATCTTAGAATATATACACACACACGCACACACTCATAGCCCCGCACTAGGAATAAGCCCACAGACCACATAGTGGATAAATCTGTATCGCAGGTACCATGGACACACACATAGACACCGCAAATTACGTCCAAACTCACTTGAGAAATAAACCACACACATATTTTTTCCGGCCTGGGAATCGAACCCGGGACATCTGCGTGGCAGTCCAGCAATATAGACCGACAAGTTAG